CAAGCTTATAGCGTATACAAGTTCGAAAAAGAAAAGCACTCGCGGCAAAGAGTCGTTCGAAGTCACTTCTAAGCGATGACACGCACCGTCATCCGCACGGCGTGGGTGTTGAGATCCTAATCGGACGGGCTCCGCGAGTAGTACAACGACGATTAGGCTTCTCCGCTCGAAGGCGAACGCACACGTACGCAAAGACCAAGGCAACGAATACACGACCGGATCTAATCTCTACTCTCGTAGGTGGTTCCGAGATACTCATCGCGATCCAAAAGGAAAAAGTCAGGCAGCGGCGCAGGAAACGAAAGTCCCTCGAAGGTCCTCGAGGATTTTCGAATACTCGCGAGAAAAGGTACGAAACTCGCGAGTACGCCCTTGTCCTCGAACGACCCTTTGTCAACTTGAACCGTTCGCGAGACGATCTAGATACATCCTTTGATTGCACTTTCGAGGTACGCGCGTCCACGGATAATCACGGAGACCGACCGACCGGTCGAGAGAAAAAAAACAAACGAAAAAGAAAAGGAGAAAGAAAGAGAAAAGAAAAGGAGCTTCGTGACCGTGGAAGATGTTTCCGCGGCGAGTTATACAAATTGTCGTTGACGTCGAATAACATTAATATAGGTAGTACCTATATTGCGCGCGAGACCGTCCTTGGTGGTCGACGAGTCTGCAAAACGTCCGTGTTAAATCATACCTACCAGGAAGACCGCGTGATTGGTGCCGTACCGACCAACAACAGCGACAATTTTCAAATCAATGACTTTGAAGATCGTCGATAGTAGGTGGACAGGTACGTATGTTTTCCCATTTAAATAGAATCCCTTACGGTTTTCAACGTCATCGGCGAGAAATAAAGGAGGATTCGAAAGGAATCAGTAGAATTGGGGGAGAAGGGATAGAGATGGAGGAGGAGAATCGCGTTCGAAAGGATCGAAGCCGTAGGACCAAGTTGGCCCGGGACCACCATAACTACAACATCGATGGGGAGTGCGAGATCCGACAGCTTCGGAGGTGGCAATGAGCCCGGGTCCCGCCCGCCGCCACACCCACACGCATATATCTTATTTTCCCTTTTTATTTATTCGGATTGCCGTTGGTCGAGGCAATCCACTCTTCGAATCCCTATGGCTGCGTCTGGTCCGCGTTGGCATATAATAGGCGAGCACGGTGGCCTCCTAGGCCCTTCGGCCTTTCGCCGACCTCTTTTAAACTTCCACTCGACGTCCACGGAATCGTCCTCATTGTCCATCTCCCTCCTCTGCCCCCCCCGCAAACCCCCCATTGACGTTCCTCCTGCTACGAACGTTCCTTTCCACAAAAATATCCACGATCTAAGAGAGCGTTACCTTGGATCATAGTGATAATATAATACAATGGTATATAGTCGCTAAAAGTACAACTTTCGGGCCTCGTTTCCGTCTCGTTGGAAATAAAAAGAATACGTTGCGACGGGTCTGAAGGTAATACGCTTACGGATCTTATTAGAAAATTATGTTTCAAAAGGGAAGAGAAATATGTCTGCGTCGTTACCAGTCGCGATTTCCTTCGATAAGAGGATCTAGCGCAAAAGAAAATTTTCAAAAGTCTTTGAAAGATTTCCTAGGCGTGACCGCGCAAGCGGAAAAAAACGGCGAAAATCCTTCCCTTTTTTCTCCTTTCTCTTTTTCCTTTCTCCTTTGTCTCTCTCTCTCTCTCTCTCACTCTCTCTCTCTCTCTCTCTCTCTCTCTCTCTCTCTCTCTCTCTCTCTGTCTCTCTTTTCTTCCTTCCTTTTTAATGCAAAGAAACGTAGAGAAAAGTAGGCTGACAAGAAGAACGGTCGGCCGACGGTAGGCCGTCGGTAGCGAACGATGGTTCGCGGTAAACAGGCGGAACATCTATGATCCCCGAAAGCAGATTATTCGGAAAGACTACTTTTAGCGAGTAAATCGATCATGCTCGGGCGAACATCGACAAGTGGCTTTTAGCGAAAACGACGCCGATGATCCAGAGCTAACGCGTATCTCCTCTCGATCGTGCGATCGACCGTTGCTATTTTGTAACGGATATCGTGTCCCGAAAAACATCGAAAGAAAAGAACGTAAACGATAGGGAGAAGGACAAGGAGTCGGATCGGATCGGTTCCGGGGCTAAACGACCATCCTCTTTCGGTCGCGTCGCTTCGAGAGGAGAAAAAGAAGGACGACGTCCTTGTCCTGCGCGACGCAATACTCACAATAGAGTTAACTTTTTTTTTTCACAGGAGATGCGCCTCATCGTTGGCCTTTGCGTCAAAATTGCAATCACATTTTGGATTCGCGAGGAAAATAAGGGGATCGTATATCGCAAATTAGACAATTGGACTCGACGATTCTCTTAGTCAGGAAGGGACTATAAGCGCGCATCGTCATCCTTTATCTTTATCCGTGCGACTAACCAATCGACGGATTTTACTCCAACAAAGTATCCGCATACTCTTCGGCCCCTTTCGACCGAGGGATCGATCGAGACGGGGAATGCACATTATTAAAACATTCCAAGCAGTAACCCCAACGAGAATTCGCCCGCTTTCAACGATATTAAGTTCCCACCGCGAGGTTCCTCCGCTTTCATAACCGTGCGCCTATTTTTCCAATTAATCGATCCGTTTCTCTCCCATCGACAATTTTTCTACTCTTTATTCCTTTATTCAGGAAAGAGAAAACTTAATGCTAGCGCCAAGGCGAACGAGGAGAATAGAAATGGTTCGCCTCGGCTCGGTTTGCTTCTTCCGTTCGTTCTACCGATTTCTTGTTAGACGACGAGCGACGTCTCAATTAAGAAGTCGAACGCGCCGGCCGAGTTCTCAACGGCGATTATCAACGATTTTCACACCGTCGTGTCCTTCGGGTTCGGTCCTTCTTGCCGGGTACGTTTTTTCGTTCGGTTTCTTCCGCGTTTCTCGGCACTTAATGCCCCGTGAAAACGCGTCGTACCGAAATGAAGGGTCCTCCGATCGATTACCACGCTTAGATCGAGGATCGGCTTTTTGCGATCCTGAATCGTTTCCCGAACTTTTAACGGATCGCCGTGCGATACGGGCAAAGGTACCGTATACTCTTCTCCTCGCGTCTTATCGCGATCGAACGCCGAGAACGAAGAACCGGATTCTCTTTTCTACAAACATTGCCGCTCGTCGATGCGCGAATCTCATTCGTCTCGAGCAAAAAGTCAACTTTTACTTTGGCCCTTTAAAGAAACAACCGCATTCTACTCGTTCGAGCATCTCTCCTTTCCTTTCTCGCCCCACCCCCCCCCCCGCACCTTGCCCACCCCATGCCGTTCCTGTTAGCAAGGACGTTACGTGGCTCGAAAGTCAGTCAGTTACTTTCGAATTTCCCGCGAAATCACGGAGAAGAACGCAAAGAAGAAAGGAAAAGAAAGGAAAGGAAAGGAAAGAAAGGGATGCGAGGTGGGGGTGAGTAGGCGGAAGGTAGGCTAACGGAAGATAAGCCTCAATTACGTCGATCGACTCCTCTCCGAGGGATGCTGGGTAGGGGAAGATTCGCTCCTCCCACTCGTCCTGTCACGTGATCGACCGAGCCCAACTTCCTTCCTTCCTTCCTTCCTTCCTTCCTTCCTTCCTTCCTTCCTCGTTTCCCGCCTATTTCACTTTTCACCCTCTTTATCGCAAGCGCTAACTTCCGAGGAGCGAAAACGAACGACTACCGTCAAAGATGTACTCTTGCGCGATCGAAAATAAGCCATGCGAAACGAAAGGAGAGAGAAACGGAGGGGGGGGGCGGCGGCGAGAGGAGGGCAGAGAGAGAGAGGGCTAAGACACGTCGATCCCGAGTTGATCCGAGATGATGAGAAAAGGAGGAGGGCGCGAGGAGGGCGCGAGGAGGGCGCGAGAAGGGCGCGCAACCTCTCCTCGTAGGCTCTCGATCCCTCTTGGACGGAGTTGCCTTTGGTCTCTGCCCCTTTGGCTCTGCGCTTCGGAGGGTAGTGGCCGACGCGTTGCGCCGCCGCTAGTACTGCTCCGGATGGTGGTGCCGATGGTGGCGCCGATGGTGGGGGTTCGTTGGTTCCTCCGACAGTTGAGAGCCCTCTCGTCGTTCTCCCTGCAAGAAGGATAGATAGACGGGCGGACGGACGGACGGACGGACGGACGGACGGTGGGTGGGTGAGAAAGGGTACGCGGGGCCGTGCGCACCGAGTTCGTCATAGACGGGCCGATCATCCTGACAGCTCTTCTACTCTCTCGTCGCCGGCGTGGCGCGCCGTTCTCGAGCGAGCCACCGATCCTCAGATTATCTCCGTCTCTCCGAGCTGCAACAGCGCCGACGACGCCAGCATCCGGAGAAAAAAAGCGAATAACGAGTGCGCGAATCTCGGCGTATCGCTCCTAACGATCCTCTTCCTTCCCCTTCCCTCCTCCGCCTTATCTCCTAGCTCCTTTATTCTCGATCCTTCTCCATCTATTCTTCCCCACCTCCCCTCTCCCCTTCCTCTTCTTCTTCCTCTACTTCTACTTCTACTTTTACTTATTCGATTTATTTTCTCGTTGCATGTCTCCTTGCCTCATCGTAAGTAGTAGTAGTAGTAATAGTCTTCTTCGTCGTCGTCATCGTCGTCGTCGTCGTCGTCGTCGTCGTCGTCGTCGTCGTCACTGTCACAGTCGTCGTCGTCGTCGTCATCGTTAGCGTCCTCGCTAAGTAAGCCGGACGGGAAGTTTGCATTCGACTGTTTGCACGAACGAACCGAGAGATAGACGCGCGGCGAAGCGCGAGCGCGCCCACGACAGAAAGAGTAGGAGAGAAAGAGAGAGAGAAAGAGAGAGCGAGAGAGAGAGAGAGAGAGAGCGAGTGTGTGTGTGTGTATGTGTGTAAGAGAGAGAGAGAGAGAGAGAGAGAGAGAGAGAGAGAGAGATCAAGGAGGAGCAGGAGGTGGAGGTGGGGGTGGAAGCAGAGGGAGGGGAAGGAGGAAGAGAAGAGGAAGAAGGGAGTGTGTGGGAGGGAGCCGGAGGGCGACTTTTCTTTTATTTAAGCTTGACACTTCGCCGCGAGCGCACGCATACCGGAAGTGCGGAGCAATACGGTCGTCGTAGAAGCTCCGAGAATAAGTTTAAAGAAGAAGAGAAGAAGAAGAAGAAGAAGAAGAAAAATAAGAGAAAGAGGAAAGAAGAAGAAAAAGAGGAAAGAAAGAAAAGAAAGGAGGAGGTGCTCGTGCTCCGGAGTGGTGCTTCTTCTTGGTCGTGGTAGTGGTGGAGGTGGTGGTCGTGCCCGAAGGTGCTATTGCTTTTCCGGCTACTTTCGGCCCATCCAATAAGGGTGGAACGAACGAGAAAAAAGGACGGGCCAAGAGAAAACTTTGGCAAAAATTTCACGGAAAAGGATGTTGCTACGCTCGTTCTTGTTTCCACCGTCGAACAGGTGGACCTTACCTCCCGTCTTCGTTAGGACGTATCCTTCGTCGACGTTGCCAACGTCAGAGTTATCATCGCCGTAAAAAAAGGAAGAAATGTTAAGGTGTTTTCAAGCTGCGAACAAGCTCAATCGCAAAGAAACGTACGCGAGGCACATTAGACAAAAGTTCGAGCTGATTTAAAATCCTTGCTCGTCCTGTCCCTTTTAGCTCCTTCGTTCTTCTTTTCTCTCTCTCTTTCTCTCTCTCTCTCTCTCTCTCTCTCTCTCTCCCTCCCCTCTCTCTCCCTGCTCTTTCTCTTTCTTCCATTCTTTCAGGAAGGAACACAAGTACAGTATTTTTGATCCAAAGATATAGAGAAATAGCTCTCGGAGATACCAAAGAGGAGGCTACGAAGAGCAAGGGTACGAAGCTCGAAGGCAAAAATCGAAGAGAGGCTTTCGAAGAAAGAGGGGGAGAATCGGCCGATCGTCGCAGGGTAGTTTTCGGAACGACCCTCGAGAAAAGTAGGAGCTCTCGAATCGGAGAGAACGTCAAAGGAGAAGCGCCGGTGCCCGGGGCGAGGAGGAGTCCTCGACGCGTGCCAGGCTGCTGATCACAGGCACCGCGCGCGCTAAGAAGAGTAAGAGAGCGTTCGGAGCCGTATCGGAGCGAAGCGGAGTTCGAGGGAGAGGGGGGTAGGGTAAATCGAGGGGTCCTTCCGTTCGGGTGCTAGGGGTGTGCACCCCTGGACGAGGGCTCCCACTCGACTCTCTCTCTTTAAAGTGGGCAAAACGCGCGCGCAAAGAGAAAGAGACGTCCTCGGGGCGATGACAGGATGCCTTCGTCTCGACCAGCAGCAGGCCGTACCTACTACGAAGGACCTCCGGCTAGAATCGCGAGGAAAATCGTCGCTCGAATCGCCGCTAGAATCGCCCGCACCGTAGCCCTTCTTCTCCTACTCTTCGAGCATCGTCGGTGAGTAAGGACTTTATCGCTAAATCGAGCCACGTGGCCCACCGACTCGTCTCGTCTCGTCTCCTCTCCTCTCGCCTCACCTCGCCTCGCCACGACTCTTCTCGTCTCGTCTTGCCGACGTCTTTACCGAGCGCACTTTGGCGCCTCTCCGCTGTTGCTCCGCCGTTGCCTCGTCGTTTCTGTTTATTTAACGCTTCTGCGCGCGATACCGATCGCTATTCGTTCGCACGTCGCAAACATTGAGAGAGAGAGAGAGAGAGAGAGAGAGAGAGAGAGAGTGAGAGAGATTAAATCCTCTTTCTTGTCTCTCGTTTACGTATCGAATTTCGAATCAAGCTTGCGTTACGACTTTATTAAAGCCTCTCGATCAGCCCTCGATCGCTTTATATCCGCCGATGCTTGAACCTTCCGACGGCGTACTACGCCGCGCGTAAGCGCTGTTTTACAAGTATAATTCGTCCCAGTGGAATGCCGTAAGAATACGTGACGTTTGCAAAATAAGGTTCTTTTTTACGGATACGATTCTTCCAAAATAAGTAGCGATTCGTGACCACGCTATAAAGTATAAATATCGGTATCGCTCGAGAACTCGTTCTTTCACCGGAGGCCGTCAGTACAAAATTGCGCTCTTAAATTTCGGCTTCGATCTCCTTTCATTATGGAAATACATTGTAAGTTGTAGGTACTTTCGCTCGAAATTGGCGCAGGTGTCTCTAAAATCGAGTCGACGATCGGCGATCAAGGCGAGCGAGATTTCGAACATAGATAAAGAGCGTAAATCGATTCGTCGGCTTTTCCCACATCGATCTTTCGTCGATCTAAGCACGCGCGCGCGCGCGCACGCTCCTGACGCACGATCATTCTCGAGCGTCGTCGATAAAGACGTCGACGTTTTAAAAGTAGTCACGCCGTTCCGAATAGTTTCCCCGAGATTCCGAAATCCTTCCATCTATGATATATAGTAGATCGTTAAACCTATTACAATACGAAGGCGATATAACTCGGTAAGAGTAATCGCTGGTCGTAGTATATCCGAGTCGCAGAGACATAGTTATTTGGCGCTAGGCGAGCAACTCTTCCTCGTTATGGTATCGAGAGAGTCCGATACACGTTCGCCGGAATCCCCTTGTGCTTGGGCCGACTCGTCGTAAATAATTGCACCGACTCGTGTGTCCGGTGCAGGACGCGAGAACGTGCGCGCACAATGTATGCGCGATGTACTCGCTACGGGGCATTGAATTACGTTCTCGACGATATAATAGTCGATAAACTGGTTCGCGCGACGCGCGTCCTCCGTCCGTTCTCCGCGCTACGACACGCGCGAACCTTATCCTTGACTCTCCCGCCTCCTTCCTTCCTTTCTTCCCACCCTCCCTATCTACCAATCTACCTACCTATCCTTCCCTCCTCGAGTCTTCAGCTCAAACTAATTTCGCGACGTTCCTCGTCGTCGTTGAGAATAGCAAAGACCAAACCGATAGCCGGCCGTTGTTCTCGCGAGTCGTCGCTAACGAGTTTTCTCTCTTCGGCCACGGCAAGCACAGCACGCCTGTCTCATGCCCCATTAAACGCGAAATTCCGCGGTGCGGCTTCTTCTCTTATAACGTGATGCGAGCACAAGGGGGAGGGACGGATAGAATAAAACGCGTGCACCACCACCGACGCCATTTTGGATTCTTCAAAGACCTTCTACGAGGAAGATTATTCCTCGTATCCCGTCGCGAACGTGAAATAAAGGGAGCAAAAGGGGCATATGGGGAAGGGGGGGGTGGGGGGGAAAGAAGTATAGAAAGAGCTAGTAAGATTCGCGCGTTAAGAATCCCTTTTCTCTTATCCTATTCAACGTTGCGACGCGGCGAAATCGCGGCACGATTCTATGAATTCGATTCGTCTCTTTATCTTTTCGAATCGAGCCAACGAGCGCACGGTATTTCTATGAGAATGACGGTAACGCAAAGACGAGTTCCTTAAGCAGCTTCTCGCTTCTTGTGCGAGAAGTGAGATGCGACGAAGGGACCGACGAAGGTAACGGAAGGAGAGAAAAGAAGTCGAGAGGTAGCAAAAGGAATCCGTTGATAGGCTCGACCGTCCGTACGGTGTCTTCGGCAATTTGTTGAGCGAGTTAAGATCATTAATCTGCTTTCGGTAGATCATCAATAGCGCGAAAGATAGCGTAGGGGCAAGGATGTACCGGTAATGGGAGCCCTCAATAACCTCGACGACCCTAAAAAGCCTCACCCTCCTTCGCCATCCTTTCCCACACTCCGCAGAAACCGAGTTGTCTCGAGCTCCTTGTCTCCTCCTCCTCTCTTCCTCCTCGCCTTCTTCTTTTAGCTCTCTACTAGCGTGCCGTGCCCGTCCTCGACATATCCCCGTATCCTTCCTTTTTCTCTTTTTCTTCGCTCCGCAACGGGTGCCATACACAGCTTTTACTTTAAGAGTAGCTCGTCGGCTAATTTCTACGGCCGGATAAGCACCGAACCAAACGAAAGGATAACTCTTCTCCTATCCCCCACGTCAAATCCACCAACCTGATTGCCGCGAGAAATCATCTTCTCGGACGTTTCTCCAACTTTTCAATCATTCTCTTTTAACCATACCGTCTACTATATACCGTCTGTTTTCCTTTCGATGATTTTACGAGACCGAGGTCAAGAGGGTGCGTAACGCTTTCAAAGAACAGATCAAACCATGGCTCCTTCTTCCTGCGCGATCACCGCCGCCACTAATACCGTCGTCGTCGCGATAACGGTCTTTGCCTCTTGGAAGAAGTGCTCTTAGAGCGCTATCTTAAGCGACGGCATCTGCCTGATGGTCGATTAATTAATTTCAACCTAGAAAGAGAGAGAGAGAGAGAGAGAGAGAAAGGGGGAGAGAGAGAAAGAGAGAGAGAGAGAGAGAGAGAGAGAGAGAGAGAGAAAGAGGAAGACATGGATACGTGCACTTTCTCTTAGATTTTCCTATCTCGCACAAGAATCCCATCGATCGACGAAAGATTCAGGAGCGAGCACAACCTTCGCGATCGAGAATCCGATAAAGCGAGAGGTCGAACGGGCCTTGATGAGAGGAGAGAGAGAGAGAGAGAGAGAGGGAGAGAAAGGGTGGGTAGGAAGGAGATCACGGCATACCGCGATCGTACGAGGAATCTCCGCGGCAGGACATTCCGTACGACCGAAATCACTCAAACCGATCGAACGCGTCCGTGGGAAGATCGGCTTTCTCGCGATTCCAAGAAATTGGCAAAGTACGAAGGCGATAAATCTCAAAATGTCCCGTTAATAAAAAGATCTACATCTTCGTTTGCAGCGGCAGTTGTTTGATGAGCAATTCGGTGGACGATTGGGTTAGCGGCAGTGCCGTCGTTTGCAACGGAATACCTGGATTGACGAAGGAGCAGCGTGAACTCTGCCACAGAAACCCGGACGTGACGGTAGCGGCTCTGAAGGGACTACAGATGGCGATATTAGAATGCCAGCATCAATTCATGTGGCACAGGTGGAACTGTTCCTCTCTAACCCCGAGCAGCAGAACGCAACAGAGTAGCGTGCTCCTACAAAGAGGTAATAACCTCCTCGTCCTGAGGTAATAAGCTCCTTCGATCCTAGCTTCTTAGACGCTTTTCGAGCGAGGTAAAAAGAAAAAAAGATAAGAAAAAACAAAAAAAAAAAAAATTGAGAGACGCGAGATTTCATTAAATCATGAGATCACGATTGCGCGTCTTCCTCGTTGCCTCGTTGCTAACGGAGGCAACGAGGGCAGCGTCGAAAACCTGTCCCAATTCCATAAGAAGGTTTGGAGGGGGCCTTCGCCACTGGACCAGCGTGACATATAAATTCGTCGTGGCGCGTACGTGCGCCGAAAGAGGAAACATATATCGTGTCGGACGAATGCGCGAGAGCGCGACATCGGGCGCACCTGACCTGAAAGCTTGAGCTCCGTCGAGCGGGAGGGCCCTCGGACCAACCTTCTTTCCCCTCGCCTGCTCGCTCACGCTGTCGTTATCTCGCCACTTCCATCGACCCTAAGATTTCTTACGACCGGCTACGTCGAGGTGTCGATTCCCTCGTTTTTTCCTCCGTACTTACGTAAAAATAACATAAACCCATCCTTAAAAAGAGTAACGTGGAATTTCTCACCTAATTCTCCGGCGATCCCTCTCTTTCCACGATCGTGGAAAACAGGAAGAACTCGTGAATAGAGTCTTCCAGGGTACGTCCCGTGCTCGTGCCGGTTATCCTACGATTAATCGAAGCGCAACAAATTCCACGAATCCAGGTAAACGGGACTTCAAGTTGCGGCCATTGCGAACGATCTTTGCTTCTTAAAGTCTATATCGTAGCTCGGCTCGAAGAACGGACGGTCGGCAAGAAATCCAGCGTGTCGAATTTCGAGTCCGGGAGCACGTCTCGAAGCCGGTCATCGTGCCGTTAAATCCCTCGGACACGCTTCTCTCTATTTTCTCATTCTTATTTTCTCGTTTCTACCTTCCTTCCTTCCTCCCTTTCTTGTAAAAAAAAAAAAAAAAAAAAAAAAAAAAGAAAAAGAAAAAAAAAAGAAAAAAAGAAAGAGAGAGAGAGAGAGAAAAGAGATGAAACATTTAACGGAAATGAACGCACAGCCCGCACAAGTAGATTTCGTCGATGAAAATCTCGAGTCAATTTCCAAACGGAAAAATTTCTCCTTTTCTACAAGCGACAGGATAATCCGATTAATTCAGAGAAAATCATTTCGAACGCGAGAATTTACGAGGGTCGCGACCAATCGCAAGAAACGAGCGCCACCTGCGCGAGAAAGCTCCCTTCTAAGGCGATCGTCATATAAAAGGCAGATCTATCGCAAGGCCATTAATTAAGAAACTCGTTGCACCGGTTCGATCCGTACTCGAGGACGTTCTTCGTGGCGAACCTTTGAGCCGGACCTCCCGTACTCCACTCCCCCATACTCCCTTATCCTCCGTATCTATTGAGTTATCTAAGACTAGCGATTCGGGACTGACGCGAACTTTGCCGAAGGGGATCGGTTCGCCATTCGTCACCATGTCCCAGAATCTAGAAGGCAAAGAGTAAAGAGACTCTCTCTCTCTCTCTCTCTCTCTCTCTCTCCTTCTCTCTCTCGATCCACTCGCTTTCCTCTCCTGTCGTTGTCCTTCCGGCCGCGCTGTCCACGACGAGAGACGCACGGCTTCTCGCAGGAGAATTTATTGCGAGTCCCCGTGGTGCGCACCTCCACGATCTCGCGCAACTCGGACGATTATAAAACGGTTCCTACCAATATCCGTATATAGAGAAGGTAAGGTTCGATGGGAAGCGTGTCCGAGCTTACGCGCTACTTGCCACTTGGAAATCTTTGCGATTCAAGAAAGACTCAAACGGAATTATTAATACCTGGTAGCGTTGGAAGGAAAGGAGAGACTCGAGAGCAACGCGTATCTCTTTCCTTTTCTGGAATCTTTTGCATCCTCGTTCGTTCGCATCCCTTCGTGAGGGAGAAAGGAAAGAATCGTCTTCGCGAAGAAGGAGGAGGAGGAGGAGGAGGAGGAGGAGGAGGAGGAGGAGGAGGAGGAGGAGAGCGTAGAGACGGAGTAGCAGCAGCGTGGTGCCTCATCGGGTGTCGAGAACGAATGCCACAAATCCTTTTAGGAGCGCCTTTAGCGCGTCTCCTTGGTATCTCGTCCTCATGAATACTGCAAATGCCGGTCGGTCGGCCGGCCGGTATCCATGGGCTTCGGAGTAACTTCTCGAGGCAGGAGAAAGGGTAGAGTAATGTGGGCATTGTCGAAGGAGAGGAGGCCCCTTCGAATCTTGCTCGGGCAGGCAGGCAATGCTCGTGTGTCGTATCGTTTGTAAGTTGACAGCCACCACTGCGGTTTGACGGTCGGCCGTCCGTCAATCCGACTCCAAGGAGGAGAGCTCGCGACGACGGGAGGACCTTGGACGCGGGAGGGCCCGAAGAAAAACTGCGCTCGACGTCGCATCGCTTAACGAACGTCGTCTGCTGCCGAGGCTAGCCAGGGTGCTGCACGCTCGCGTCACCCTGCTTCTTGCTCTCTCTCTCTCTCTCTCTCTCTCTCTCTCCCCCTCGTTGTCCCTTTCTCAGGATCTATCCTCGAAAGGATCGCTAATGAAGGGAAGCGAAAGGTGCCGTTTCGAGAAACGAAAAGAGACGAGCTCGCTCATACGTAGGACGGGCACGCTTCGTTTTGACGGACGGCTGAATAATCTAGCTTCGTACCGTTGTCTGGGAAGGCTGTCCGCGATCGCCATTTGTAACTCCTTCTACGGAAGCTCGTACTCCCCTCGCGAGAAAGGAGAATATACGCTTCGCGTATATTATCCTGGCTGTTTTCCAAGCGGCAATTTGCTAACGCGACATGGACGAGATACCCTCCAAGAATCCTCCGATCTTTCGAAAGCCACACAACTTATGTACACAGGTTTGGCACCCATGATTACCAAGCTCGATCGCAGGTTACAGAGAGACGGCCTTCGCTTACGCGATATCGGCAGCAGGAGTGGCTCATAGCGTGGCGCGCGCCTGCAGCATGGGAAGGCTCCTCTCCTGCGGATGCGACCCGTCCAGCTACAAAGTAAAACCACCGGCCAAGGCAAGGGGCACCCAATGGAAATGGGGCGGGTGCTCTCACAATCTCGATTACGGCATGGAGTTTTCGAGACAGTTCCTAGACTCGCGCGAGAAGGCCGGCGACATACAGTCTACCGTTAACTTGCACAACAACCAAGCGGGACGTTTGGTAAGACGAGACGATTTTTTTTCTTTTTCTTCTTTTTTCTTTTTTTTTTCTTTTTTTTCTCTTTTTTTTTCTTTTTTTTTTTTTCTTTGTCCTTGTGACGATCAATGATTTTTCTTATAACGAAATCACGTGGCCGTGCCGCCACCTCTTCCACCAACCTCAAAGTTTTTAGCTTTTTAGTGGTCCGCGTTCAAACTCCGCCCATGACGGAAGCCAAAGCGAGGGTAGGGAGCACGAATGGAGAGAAAAAAGAGGAAGGAGGAGTAGAAGAATAAGAAGAAGAAAAAGCGTAGAAAGGAGAGAGGGAGGAAGAAGAAGAGAGAAGAGGACGGTGGGCTTCTTCTCTCCTTATTCCTCTTTTCCTCGTTCGTGGTGCTCTCCATGCTCGCTCTCGGCCCTCGACGTTATTAAGACGAAGCCTCGGGCGGGACCACCCAGCCGTAGACTCATTAACTGTTTTGTACGCGACACCTCTTTGTCTAAAAGAAACCAAGTTAGATTTGCCGTTTTTTCACGAGTCATGCCGTCGCTCGCGTACGGTCCTTTCTCGCATTTTACAGAAACTCCTGACTTGTGTTTCAGTCGGTAGCGAGCAACATGCAAGTGAGATGCAAGTGTCACGGCATGTCCGGTTCGTGCGAGCTCAAGACGTGCTGGAAGGTGGTGCCGGACTTTCGAATAGTCGGCAAGACGCTCAAAGATCGTTTCAGAAATGCCGTCCTGGTGGCGCAAAGTAATCTCGGAAGCGTCACGCCGTTGGCCAGAGCAAGAGGCTCGAGGAGAAGAAGACCGGACCGTCAGAGACAGAGGAAGCACCGGGAGAGGGGAGCAGGACGCAAAAGGAAACCGCGAGATCTCGCGAAGCAGCTCTTTTATTATCAAAAGTCGCCAAACTTTTGCGAAAGGGATCCTGCCGCGGACATACCCGGTACGGCCGGACGTAGGTGCAACAAAACGAGCTCGGCCGGTGACGGTTGCGGCAGCCTTTGCTGCGGAAGAGGTTACAATGTCGTCAGGCAAAGGCGCACCGAAAGGTGCAGGTGCAAGTTTCATTGGTGCTGCTACGTTCAGTGTCAGAATTGCACCGTCGAAGAGTGGATCACCGTTTGCAAGTGAAACACTACCCGAGTTCTCGTGTTGCGAACTTTGCACGCAAAACTACCTTCGGATTATCAAAGAGATCGTTCGATGCGATTTATCAACGGATCCGCGATCCACCCCGACACAATTCGTCGCGAATTATATTAGATATGAAGAAGAAAAAACAAAAAAAAAGAAAAAAAAGAAAAAAAAGGAAGAAAAGAAAAAAAAAGAAAAAAAAGTGAAAACCAAAAAAAAAGAAGAAAAAAAATTATCGTAGATTATAAGAAAACTCTTAATTTATTTATATCGACGTTCTATTTAATTAATATTTAACTTTAACTTCCAACCCACTCTACAACCTCCGTCGCAGTATTATTAGAATCAAGCCGTATGCGCGAAGCGTTCGTGCGAAAGAACGCCCACATACATTATATACGATTTAATTATACGCGTACAATAAAGAGAGTTCCTGTAAATTCTCATCTAGCTCATTTGTTTTATCCCTCGTAACCGACGTATCTGAATAATAAACCCATTTATGGAACCCCTTTCAGTTTGTTTCTCCTATAATTGAAGCCTTTTTCCAATGCTCTAATTTCTTCCGTTGATGGCCACAAGCATAGTTCTTTCCTATTGATCGACCAATGGATTAACTCGCGAGTCAGCCTTACAAAAATCTGTGCCAATCCTTTTTATTCCCTACGAAAAAGGTATGAAAAAGATGCGTAACTCGCCGTCTTTGTCTTCGTCGATCGTCTTCATTTCCCAATGACCTGTCGTCGAAGAAAAGGCGAAGGAAAACATGGTAGTGGTGGTGGTGGTGATGGAGAAGGAGGAGGAGGAGGAGGAGGAGGTAACAACGACGGCGACGACTCGAGATCCGTTCTGACGCTTTTTGTCGAGAACGCGAGCTACGCCCGCAGAATGTTTATTCGCGGAGGAGACGTTCGCGTATAAGCGCGGCTCGGAGCGCGTAGATGCATCTAGCCCTTTGATTCTAGCCGCCAATAATACGAAGTGTGACCGGTACAAGCTTTATCGTCCGATCGACGACGATTCGTCTTGCGCATCGCTCGCTTCACCGGCCAACGAAGAAGGAGAAAGAAGAAGGAGAAAGAAGTGGGGGAGATAAAAAGGGTGGTGAAAGAGAGAAGCTCGCTGAAGCGAGGAACGGAAAGGAGGAAGAGCTTATTGATTTTGTATGAGAGAATAAACGAACAAAGCTGATGGTGGGGGCTGGGGGGAGTAGAGAAACGAGGAAGGTTCGCGTTTCGTCCGCTTCTCTCTCTCTCTCTCTCTCTCTCTCTCTCTCTCTCTCTCTCTCTCTCTCTCTCTCTCTCTCTCTCTCTCTCTCTCTACGTGATCAACGGGAATCAGAATCAGCTTTGTCGCTCGTCGATGATTAACCTCCCACGATCCTTTTGGCTTTCCCGGAGATAGCAAGATTCCGACTTTGCGATGAGAACGATCCTACTTCTTTTTCTCTATTCGCCGCGGGAGACGAGTACCTTGGAGACGTTTCTGATTCTAATCGAAGCACAATTACGATTAGATAGAAAAACGATCTAATGACAATGTCAGCGCGCCGATTTTTCTCTCTTTCTCTCTCTCGCTCTCGTAAGTAGCTCCTCCACGTGCGAGAAGTTGTGCGACTTGGTGGTCCGCCGAAACGGACCGTAATCAAGGTAGTAGTCTCGGCGGAGGCGGACCGATGCGCTTACTATAGTTCGATGAAAATGTAAAAAAAAAGTTTGTCGCAAGAAGAGCCGAGAAACGGAGACGCGTATTCGCATTAATTTCAACTGGCGAACTCGCGAGCGGCTCCCTTTGACCGTCGTCGTACCACAAGGACCCTGAAGAAGCCGCGATAAAGCGCATTAATTTATCGCGACCCTCCAGAGATCTTTTTCAAGGAGTCATCGATCCGAGCAACGAGATTAGAAGCGCGAGCACGATGCTCGGCGTCGCGAACGCACATTTTTACTTCCCTCGAACCAGTAGGATCCTGCTGAAAGAGAAGCTCTATCGTACCTCTCCTCTTTCTTCGATTGGCGTTTCTAAAGCCATCTTTAGCCAGGCAAATTCGTAATCCTAAATTTGCCGAGTTATCTTAACCTTACCAGTTATTCAGGCTATTGTCCATCGAATCGTAGGGAAGTACGAAAGGAATGGAAATTATAGAGAGAAATTTCGACGATAGAGTCTATTCGACGATCCGTTCGAGATCCGGTCCAAAAAAGAAAAAGAATTAATCTATACGGCGCAAACGACGTAGAGACTATGCGCTGGGAACGAAATCAATGAGCTAACAAGCTTGCGAGTTAGCAGTTAGTTAATTAAGTCGGCGTTATTGGATCATGGAAGCCAAGCGCCCCTTCTCCCGAGTACGAGCCCCAGTCTTCTCCCCCTTTTGTACTCCAGCGTGCGTCTCGTCGGTACGGTCTTTGGGGGCGCTCTTTGGGGCCGCTGTTTATGGCGCTGTGTTTGGGGTGCTGTTTGGGGCGCTCGTCGGGACGTTCTTTAGGAAACTCGTCGGGACTCCCTTTCGGGTCTAACGCCAAGACCGACCGTGCTAGTCGACGTCGTCGTAGTCGAGCTCAACTGCGAACACTGCGAGGCCGGACGCCGTAGGGCTTACGCGACCTGCCAGACGTCTTAATTAGAGGTGAGTTGCCGAGCGCGAGTCGCGAGTCGGTTAAGAGACCACTCTCGCTTCCCCTTCTTTTTGCTTTACCCTTAACTGCATTTCGCACCTTTCGCAATTTTTCTTCGTACCAACTTTTCAACGTCTTTTCAAAATTTTCATTCGTCCTGGGCTTTCCCTTCGTCGAACCTCGGCCGTAGATCGAGCAAAGCGCTAAGGTTTCGCGTCTTATTTCGAGTCGTCGATAATGTCACGTTTGAAGAATCTCCCTTTTGCCGTTCTCGTCCTCGACGACAATAAGAAAGAGGAGAAGAAAAAAAAGATAGAAGAAAAGGAAGAAGAAGGAGGAAGAGGAGAAGAAGAAGAAGAAGAAGAAATACGACGAATC